CCTACACGTGTCGCTTTTTCTGCACTATCAGACTCGATTACTACCCAACGGAAATCCGACTCGTAATTCTTTATTCGAAAATTCAAAATGATAAATTGCGATAATTATTTGCGATAACTTCATCGTGATGCATAGACTCGAAATCACAGTTTGGCTTTCTGGTTTTAAATTTAACTAACATATTATGTATCATATATAATTTCTTGTGTTATAATAAAAAGTAGTATTAAATACTCTTATTCTCCATGCACATGTTTCTTATTTACAAATTATGTAGCAAGAGTCAATAATGCCTTCTACTTTCGGACTAGGTATTTTCAGATCAAACGCATCGTGTAACTATAGATATTTCCGCATCATGTCTATCGGCTTTGAGAAGAATTTTCGTAACGAACAGTTTAACGGCTGTTTAAGCCATTAAGATTAAATACAAGGTTAACCGAACGTAACATATGCATATATAATTTTTCCATTTTTGTTTGGCGATAACATTGCCGATTTTTCTCAGAACCAACAGTTACGATGCGTTCGAGCTAATTAAAAACTGGGAAGCGTTATTGACCCTTTCTATAGATATTAAGTTATATAACATAGAGATAATGCGTAATCACATGGAGACAGATAATAATGCTACTTTCAATAACTCTGCAGAATTGCGATAAAAACAGAATTGCAATAAATTAAAAAAAGATTAACAATATACAGTTAGTTATAGTATCGAATGTATAATACGTAAACTATAGAATCGATCGTTAAAAATAAATTAATCATTACCGAAACTTACACGTATTGCACTATGAAAAGTGCAATCTCAGTCTGATAAATCGATCGTATGAAAAAGCCATTGAATCTCGCGCATATATATATATATATCCTTAGTATATGACATTCGTGTTTCTGAAGCACGTCTTAAAAACTGCTGACTTCATCAATCAATATGGCCCTTCAAATTTATTACATATATATTATAAAAAATCTGTATAATATATGTATATGTATATATACATGTTATATTTTTATTTAAAAAATCATTTTTATTCCGTTGAAAAATTATTATAGGACAACGAATTTGTTTGTTATATTACACTGAGATATTTATATAGCTAATTATTTAATGGATTTTATACACTATAATTTATTTATATTATTTATTTGATATAATTTATTATATAAATTTATTTTATTGTATAAATT